CTGTTTACCTGCCCCCCCTCTGTTTATCTGCCCCCTGCTTTCAGAGGCTCTCTGAGCGCTGGCAGCCCGTCGATGAGGAGCATTGGTCGGCGTCCGGCGCAGTCGATGACCCTGACAGCGTGCAGTTATCGTTCTAATTAAGATGCCACACTTGAGTTAAACCGCAGCATCAGAATTTGATGGAGAATTGATCAGGATGTCAGAGGCAGAGTGAGACGGGGGTCCGGGGGTGGGGGGAGCAAACAGAACAGAATCGAGACGAGGGATGAGTTTTCAAACCTTAGTGAGTTTTTATCGACAAGATTTCAAGAGAAATCCTTCAAACGCTGAAATTTAACGTCTGAAACTGAAGTCAAATGTTTGTTTTTTAATCAACTATCTTAAGCTGATTAATCAGATTTTTAATGAGAAGTTTGAAAAATCTTGATTTCTAATCTGAGAACTTCTAAATGTTACAAAGTAACTCAGGTGGAGACGAGACGCAGCGCCTCAGATTGAGAAGCTTCAGGGGCGAAGGTTAAGATAATCCCTGATTCCAGCTGGTCAGCCAGTCGATATCCTCATTGATGTGTGTGTGTGTGTGTGTGTGTGTGTGTGTGTGTGTGTGTGTGTGTGTGTGTGTTTGAGCCTGACACTGAAAACTTCAACTGGTTTTCATGCTTTTTGTCTCTTGAGGTTCCACAGACACGAGCAGAACTGCTTCACAAGGACCTGACACACTGAAACATCTGGACCGGCCTCACGCACACACCTACGGGCAGCTACACATGAGCGCATGTGAACCTGAGCTGCAGCAGCTGCGTGACCACCATCCACGCATGACCGAGTTCACGTCTCAGATGTTGTAAACACGCACAGCTCAGAGAGCGGCTCAAGTCTGAAGTTTCAGGTCAAATAATTCTTAACTGTGAGGTTTTTTAATTAATCACTATAAAACAGAAGGATTTAATGATTTTAAACTAATAAAAACACAAAGTTTGTCTCAGGAAATATTGATGACCTGACTGATCAGCATCAACTCTGTTACTGCACCGCTCCATGTGGGCGGAGACAGATGTTTGTGTCACATCTGATCAATCAGAGGCTTTTTTTTTTCAACAGAGCAGCTGTTAGCATCTGTTAGCATCTGGATGAGTCCAGCTCTGCTCAGCTGTCAGTCAAACTTCATCCAGTTGTTAGCATTTGTTAGCATCTATTAGCATTTGTTAGCATCTGTTAGCATCTGGATGAGTCCAGCTCTGCTCAGCTGTCAGTCAAACTTCATCCAGTTGTTAGCATTTGTTAGCATCTATTAGCATTTGTTAGCATCTGTTAGCATCTGGACGAGTCCAGCTTTGCTCAGCTATCAGTCAAACTTCATCCAGTTGTTAGCATTTCTTAGCATCTATTAGCATTTGTTAGCATCTGGA